CCCAAAGCTCTGTGAAAGACATACCTTTCAACACCGCCAAAATGCAGTTTAATACAATGGTCAAGGCTTACAATGATCTTGCTTTTCTTTATTCCTGATAGTATGAATATAACAACGCACAAAAACTACGCTGTTTTTGTTTGTTTGTTTGTTTGTTTGTTTTTTGTGTGTTTTGTTCTGCTTTGTTTTTGGTCTAAAAAGTACCTAAACGGACCTGAATGCTTATTGCAACATCGACGATATAGTACAATGTATATTGTAGCCCCCTTCTTGTTCTTTTGCTTTTGTGTTCATTTTCTTGTTGTTTGTGCTCTTGTTCTCATCCTCAATCTCCCCCTCAACTTATGTATATAGAGGTATAGCTTCGTACAGTTAGTTGCAATAAGAATTTTACGGCCATCGCAACACAATAAGGTCATATAAATGCCGAAGATTAGAGGTGTTACAAGAGAGTAACAAACACTAAATAGGAGGAGAGATGAGGACGACAGATTATGTTTAATAGGAAACAAGGAGCAAACCACAACAGAGCACCCACTAACCACCCACATACTATTTCTATCAGACTATAAACGAACAATGAGTGTGTGTGTGTGTGTGTGTGTGTGTGTGTGTGTGTGTGTGTGTGTGTGTGTTTGTGTGTGTGTGTGTGTACAGATTATTGTTTTTCATTGTGAGTATATTCTGTGTCCAGAGCACCCGCTATTGCTACGCTAATATCCGACATGCTATTTCTATTTATAAACAAACAAACAAAGTGTGAGTGTGTTGTGTGTCCACAGGCCATGCAGCCCGAGTACCGGGCCTACCAGCAGCAGGTGTTGAAGAACGCCAAGGTCATGAGTCAGGCGCTAGTGGACAGGGGCTACTTCGTCGTCTCAGGTCTGTTGGTGGGAGCGGGCGGTTGGTGGGTGCTCGGAAAGAGTATTTAGTTTTGTGCTCCGCAGGGTTTTTTCTGCACTTTAACGTTGCTAGTATTAGGACATCAAAATGTTTTAAGGGGAGGAGAAGGGGAAGGTGGAGACAGAGGTGGATGGGGAGGAAATGAATGCAATGCTGGAAGAGGAGGAGGAGGAGGAGGAGGAAGAAGAAGAAGAAGAAGAAGAAGAAGAAGAAGAAGAAGAAGAAGAAGAAGAAGAAGAAGAAGAAGAAGAAGAAGAAGAAGAAGAAGAAGAAGAAGAAGAAGAAGAAGAAGAAGAAGAAGCTCTTAGCCTAAGGTCATTTGAGTCTCACTCCCCTCTCCCAACCATGCCCACACCCGCACACACACTCACACACACACACACACACACACACACACACACACACACACACACACACACACACACACGAATACACGTGTGTGTGTATATATATATATATATTATATATATCCCGGATCGCCACCCCTAAACAAAATACCTGATGTAGAAAAAACGATCCCAAAAGTCATCTGCATGCACTGTCCACCACCAGGGGGCACGGACAACCACCTGGTGTTGATTGACCTGAGGCCAAAGGGCACGGACGGGGCGCGCGTGGAGCGTGTGCTGGAGCTGTGTTACATCACCGTCAACAAGAACACATGTGCCGGGGACAGGAGCGCCGTGGTGCCCGGAGGTCTGAGGCTAGGTGAGGCTTTTGGCTGAGATGCTTTGGTGTCAGAGGTTCTTGGGCGTCTAAGGCTAGGTGAGGTTCTTTGGTGTCAGGGGCTAGGTGAGGCTTTTGGGTGAGGTGCTTTGGTGTCAGAGGTTCTTGGGCGTCTAAGGCTAGGTGAAGTTCTTTTGGTGTCTGAGGCTAGGTGGGGTTCTTTGGTGTCTGATGATAGGTGAGGCTCTTTGGTGTCTGAGGCTAGGTGAGGTTCCTTGGTGTCTGAGGCTAGGTGAGGTTCCTTGGTGTCTGAGGCTAGGCGAGGTTCCTTGGTGTCTGAAGCTAGGTGAGGTTCTTTATTCTTTAGTATCAGAGGCTAGGTGATTCTTTAGTGCTAGAGGATTGTGATTCTCTGGTTTCAGTAGCAAAGTGATTCTTTGATGTCAAGGACTAGGTGACATTGAAGGTGACAGAGGCTAGGTGAGATTATTCTTTAGTGACAGAGACGGGGTGAGGTTGTTGGTGCCATTCCACCTGACGGTCTCCCGGAATGTTTTTGTGCTTCTTGGCGGTCTACCACAGCACAGGGCCGCACTGATATACCATGATATGTTCGAGTTAGCGATCTACTAGTCTGCTACCTAGCCCTAACCCTTATTCTTACCATAACTCCACGAAAGGTTAGGGTATGGGTTAGGTTTGGGGTTTGGATCAAAGTTTTGAGTTTGAGGTAGGGCACGGACAAGAATTAGGGTGGTGGATTACATTAGACTTATAAGACTAGAATATCGTCAAGAGGAACTGTTGTCAGTCTAATCTTGAGGGAAATCGTCGATTAGTACAGACAAATATCGCGGTGTATAGTGGAGTGAGTTGGCACCGGTTCTATCCTGAGTAATCATCTCATTATAAGTGTTGGCGTTGAATTAAAAGTAACCCCTGCTGCCCTCTTTTTCTGTGTAACCCCCCCACTCTCCCTCAAACTAAAAATCCATCGTCTGTGGTCTAGGCCTAATGGTGTAATGGTTATGGTTAGCCTAATCATAACCAATAGACCATAAGGCTCTTCGCCGATGCAAGAAGAAGACCATTAGTAAGCTTCTACACGCATCAGATAACACGCCCGCCTCCTGAATATACGGTTTTTGTCCATGGGGGTGTAAAATGGTTACAGTCTCCAGTCTTAGATTCGTTTCAGTGAAGCTATTATAAAGGGGGGGGGGGGAGTCAGATTAATGACAGGCATTCGAAACTGTATAAGTGTATAGCCCCTTTCAACACATAATGGTTATTCGAGAGGCGGGGTTTCTGATTTTAACATCCATCTCAGACAGGACCGAGCCAAACCGGTGGAGAGTGGAGAGCCTTATAAAGTCTCTAAAAGAACCCAAGTTCAGAATGCCCTGTTGAAGATTCGAACCAGGGCCCTCCACTCGAACCCATAGCCCAGCATAATGACAAGCGAGCTATCGGCACGCTCACTAATGTCAAGTTGTTAATATTGTCTAGCTATTAAATTTGTACTTAGCCCAGATAGCAAATTCTATAGAAGAGAGAAAAATCTGTTTTCATTCTATTGTGAGCTTACTTACATCATGTATTTTTTCTTTTAGCTTTAAAAAAAAATAATTTAGAATTTGAATTTCGACAAAGTATTTTTGAGTACCAAGTACTCAGACTATAAAAGAAGAGATAGACCACGAAAACGATGGATTCGAGGGGGGGGGGGGGTGGTCAAAGAAACCCTGAGAAATTATAAAACCTCAAATTGGAAGAGCTGCAGAGCTGGCCTACCGTAGAATACTACATCTCCTCTCGACGCGTAACGGCAACAGAGGATGAACAAAATAAAAACAAAAGTAAAGTATTTCTTAAGCACATGTAATCTACACCACAGATTAAGAAACAGCAAGTAAAACAAAACAAAAACGTAATGAAAATGTTGGGGCTTAGCACATCTGAACAGCTGGCCGGCATTATTGTTATTAACCCTGCGGAATCGGGCACTCGTCAATTTTGGGATTTGTGGAGTTGTTGGTATCATTTTAAAGATTGTTCATTTGGATTGTTTTCAGTGAAAAATTACTCATCTACCATGAATAGAAGTCGATATATTATTATATTTATTTATTTTTTGTTTTGGTAAGTGTTTTACGGAGCTCGCAACTGCATAAGGTTTTCCATTTGGTAGGAAATTTTGAATTTTGCCCTGGTGGCGACCGAAGCCTACTCTTATCGATTTTAGACCACTAAGGGATCTTTAACGGGCACACCTTGCACACGGGCCCTTCGAGATTTTTTGCCCTTGTCCGAGAAGGCTAGGTGTAGATCTTTCCTACCGTAAGATCAGAGGTGTGGCTGAAAGACAGCAGTAAGAAGGAGCCAAGGAGTAGCAGTGGAAAGGCGGCAGAGAGTCACGAGCCCAGAGGAGGGAGCAAAGGAGATGAGGGGGTGGGGACAGGAAGAGGAGACGAAAGCTGACAATAGAACATTGCTATAGGGTCGGAAAGGAGGTGGAATGAGACAATTTTAGAGAAAAAGATTGTTCGGTCGCTACCTGGATTCGAACCCGGGACCCTTGAATGAGAGGCCAGCTCCTTAACCTCTAGGCAACGAGAACCCCCGTCGAGATATTTGAGGTTGAGGGAGGTGGGGGTCTCTTGATTTCAGAGGTGAAATTAGCGAGAAAATGGCCGTCAAAGTTTGGCGACCTCCAAAGCTTGAGAGTCTTTAGAAAATGCAAAATGACATTTTGGGGCCGTAAATCAGCATTTTTCAGTAAAATCCACACAAAAATGTGTTTTTAAAATGAACCTTTAAGTGTGTTGAGTCAAAAAAAAAATTCGATAAAAATTGCCAAACAGACAGAAAAATGCCAGTTTCTTTGATTTCACTATTTTGACGAGCGCCTGATTTCAGTACGGTGCCTCACCATTTATTCTTCCCGTTGTCTACAGGAGCTCCAGCCCTGACCACGCGAGGCTTCCGAGAATCCGACTTTGTGAGGGCCGTGGAGTTGGTCGACAGAGGGGTGGGGATAACATTGGACGCTCATAGGAGGACAAGTACGTGTGTGTGTGTGTGTGTGTGTGTGTGTGTGTGTGTGTGTGTGTGTGTGTGTGTGTGTGTGTGAGAGAGAGAGAGAGAGAGAGAGAGAGAGAGAGAGAGAGAGAGAGTCATGACTAATGAACAGACAAATGAACTAACAATTGAACCAACCAGCTGACTCACTGAAAGACAGACAGACAGACAGACAAACAGACAGACAGACAGAGTGATAGACAAACTATTTTTATGAGGGATAATATATCTATAACACATGCTATTTGTGTTTTTGAAACGTGGAAATAGCCATGGTTAAATTTGAATGATATTTCCATGTTTCAATTTTTACATGTAGATAATACTACTAACACCTATTTCCATGCTTCAATGCCATCACATTGATAACGCCTATTTCTATGTTTCAATAATACCACTTGTGAAAAAAATTAAATGTTCAGGAAACTTCTAGAAAAGACCTACTCAAAATTTGTAGCAGTTAAAAAGCCCCAAATCTTAGACAATAACTTCTTTACCTAACAGTTTCAGCATGTTAAACAAAATTCAACTTTTGTTATATTTTTTCCAGGCTGAATTCCCAAATGTGGTTTCCCGCGCTCGAGGACTCGGTTGCATCATGTCCTTTGACTGTCCGGATGCCCAGACCAGAGACAAATTGGTTGGAATTCTCAGAACTTATGGTATAGTGCATCTTAGATTATATTTTAAAATTTCTGAGGCAGCTTGGTGAAATCAGGCTCTCGTCAAAATAATCAAAGTCGAGAAACTTGCATTTTTCGTCCAGTTTGTGAATTTTTAAAGAATTTTTGTGTTTTGCCCCAACCCCTTGTGTGTCCATTCAAAAAAATATTGAATAAAGGCACAAAAAAATGTACATTTTCAGTTACCACGGACTCTTAAGCTAAGGAAATAGCTAATCTTTGGGGGCCATTTTCTCACTCATATGAGGTAAAAATCAGGAAACTTCTGAAACCGGGCGACCACACCTCTTTCAATCGCAAATATCTCGACTTCTATTCAAGATAAACGGATATTTTTTCCTCCTTGAAATAAAGAAAAGTGAACAAGCTTTAAGATGATACCAATAACTCGATGTGCCCAAAAATTGAGGAGAGCCTGATTCCACTGCGTCGCGCCTCTAATTTATGCTTGTAGGTGGAAGTTGCCTGAGGTTGTTGTTGTTGTTGTTAGCGATCCAGTAGCATCTGAGCATTAACTCTTCTGCATGATGCCTTTCGGTAATAGTTGCATGTTTGTTCTAATTGTTGTCGTGAGGAGTAGAGGCAATTAGATGTGTGGGGTAGCTTGGGAAGAAAACATCCCCTTAAATCAGTTAGTTTTCTACAAA